GAACAAAACACAAAATCTACAAACGATTGTCCTGACACTCCATTTGGCCGACTATATGCTCCTGCAATGTACTACATCTTTTATTTCCTACAATCAAAGGTAAGATAAGAGTGCCCTTTTATTCAAAGAGCAATCCAACGAAACGACTTTTATAGGCCTGTTTTAGCTGGACTACTCTCGAATATTTTTCTCTTTCTTTTGCTTTTAGCTTTTCTAAAGTTAAAAAAGAACTCTGAAATTAAAAAGCTACAGGAGACCAGTTTTTGTAATTTTTATTTTGAGCTTTTCTACGAAAACTACAAACATTTGGGGGCAGATATTCTTGGCTGCTCTAAGCCATTGCCAAGAACGCTCCCCCAAGTATGACCAGTCGATATCACGCCTTAATTCCACCACGTTCACATTGTGGTGTTTTGTCACCCAACAAAATAAAAGGATACGGAAAGATTGCTTTCTGTCGCACGCAGATTATTGAGTAGTGAATCTAACAATACTAAACCAGCCTTCTGGCCAGTGCCAACATATATTTTACTATTAACATAGAGCTGGCCTACGTATATATACAAAGAGAGCTGGCCTAACAAACTCAAACAAGCGCATAAAATTTGGTCCAAAACATGGGTGCCCGATATACACAAAAACCAATAGTCGAGATTGTACTACAATCTTGATTTTTTTTTATTTTTTTTTACGTAACGGCACATATAATTTAATCTAACATATTCCTACTGGGAGGGGGGAAGCCTACTCTAAGGGATGGCTTAATTGAATTGGGGGAACCTGATGGGGACTGAACCACCATCAGATCAGACGGATGCATCACACATCCGTATATATTTAGAACAAATCTCATATAGAGACACATTGATGGGAGCTAAGGTTTGAATCATCGACCTCCCATCATACAATTAAGGTGATGGCCAACTCCTCTAAAGGGAGTTAATTTACTACAATCTTAATTGGCGCGACACAATTTGGATCATTGAGCATTTGAAGATTGGATTTACTTAAATGTGAGTCTAAAATTTGATTTGACCTTCGTAACAACTATCCATCTAGGTGCCAATTGCATCGAGAAGTTGACCATGTCATCTAAGTTTAGTTTTGATCCTCTGAAATCCGAATTAGTTTGTCTTCGAAAAATGCTCAAAATCATTTTTAACCTAATAATGACTTCTTAGGGATTTTAGATCTTAAGACGTATTGTAAGTACCATATGGTTTTCAATCCTCATTTGCATATTGTTTAAAAAAGATTGACGTTGTGATATACAAACCTTTGTAGTACGTGATTTGCACAACTCGGGGAATGTTTTGTTAGCACAATATTCCTTGAAATGACTTGTATTTTTTGTGTTCAGTGACTTTTTGTACGAGTTCACACCTATTTGTTGTGTTTAGAATTGTATGGCGATATTTGTCTCAACCCTTAGCCCCTCATCGGGGAGTCAGGATCAAACAAACAGAGATAACGGGCAAAAGAAAAGCTAGCAACCTCCAAAGATTTGAATGAATGGAGATTGTGATGGAGGGTCAAAGAGTGATGGCAATGTTTTACGGCTATGCCATGGAGTCATCAAGGCAGGCGCAAGGTTTGTAAAATCGGGATCCTACGTAGAATCGATTTTAGTTTCACAGGATCGGATCGTAGTATCGGATCGTAGAATCGTAAGATCCTACCAAAAGCTCCTAATTGCAATTAAAGGTTGCAATTCTTTGATAAATTACAAATATACCACAAATATTTTCATTTACTTGCAAAATGGAGCTTCGTATTTCACAAATTTACAAAAAAATTGTAGGATCGTACGATCCTACCGATCCTGCTACGATTCTATGCGATCCTACAGAGATTAATATGATTTGCGACTCTGAATACGATCCGGATCGATTTTGGTTATCCGGATTGTAGGACCGTACGATCCTACAATCCGGATCGCGATTTTGACAACTATGGGCAGGCGCGTGAATAGGAGGATATTCACCTGGATCTTGTCCCTTGGTTGGTACTCTTTTATCATGTTTTAAAAAAGTTCGATGCCATGTCTAATCTAACACCGTATCCACCGAAACGGGCGGCATTTTCAAGCAAAGCACGTTTTCACGCCTCTTCTCTTCTCTTCTCTTCTCTTCTTCCAAGCGGCGGCCGGGAAGCAAGCGAGCAACCAAGGCACAGAAAAAAAGGGCTAAATGGCAAGGTGCATTTTTCAGCACCGATTTCCAGCAACCTAAATGCAGAAATTCTGAAGCCGTAATAAATTTGGACCAGTACAAGTACAAGTGGGTAATTAATTAGCTGATGGATAGGCACGGACGACAAACGTAGCTGGGTAATTTCCGATGGGTTTTTGGTTGTCACTTTGTACCTGTAAATAAATAAAGGAACTCTGGAAAAGAGTAATATTGGGTCCCATTTACAACTCAGGTGGGTTTCTTGGAACAGTAACGGTCTGTATCAAGGACCACGTCAGGTATAAATTTGGATTGCTACAGTGATTGTTGGGAGTATTTTTTTTACTAGATAAATATTTGGTGTGCTTGCATGTAACTGTGTGTTGTACGTGTAAATTTTATTAGAGCTAAATCTTATCTACAATGACATGACATGACATGACAGTATATACACATCATCACTCAACTCAATTTAATGGTACATGTGTAAAAATTAGATTTTTTTTACATAATTATCATTCATTTAAAAATACACTGTGACATTAATGTATAAAAGATTAATTTTTTTTTGTCATTTATCATTTATCTACTTTATTCCTACTTTAGTCTATTCTAAAAGGAAGTCCAACTGGACCTATAGAGAAATCGATGGAAACTGAATCACCATCGGATCAGACGGGTGCACTACGCAACTGTCTGTATGGATTTGAGGAAACCATACATATTATAACAAATGATGAAAATGATAAAAGATAAGGTTTGAATCCATAAACTCCCACCTACTTATCAAGATTAATTCATTTTATTAAATCAACTTATAAATATTATGATATACGTGAGTGTCTACAAACCTTTCTTTAGATAAAAAAAAAAAAAAAAAAACACTCGTGCTTATCCGAAGAAAGCACTATACCAAAGAAGGGGGATTCAATCTTTGTTACGCTCGCTCAATGCATTCACTCGTCGCCTAATTTAGAATTTTGGGGCAGCATTTGCTGACCACGCAGCGCCGACAAAGAGAGGTTACACTCTTGCAGACTAAATACATCAACGTCAAAAAGGGCACCATGCAATTCAGAAATTCTTCTGTTCTGGGAAAAGATTGAGAATGGGGTTTCTAATTATCTGCAGAATTCTTTCTTGCTTAAAACATGATGCATATGTAATTTCTGACTCGCATCACAAAGCAAATGCCAAGAGTTAGGCTGGCTGGCGTTCTACAGAAATTAATACTGGTTTGGTTTTGGTTGATACGGTGGACTGGACGGCTATATTATTAGTATTTATTTATTTATTAGGTAATACTACTGTATTCCACAACATACAAAGTGACGTGAACGCAGACTTCATTGTCGAGGGAAGGACAGAGCTAGTAACAAAGAAAAAGAGCTAGCAAAATTCTTTCGACTTCAAATTGTAGTACTACTGCTACATCTTTAAGCTGTAACCTTGGAGGACGGAATTCTGACCTGCAAATTTCTTAACCAAAATTCCTTCAGCAAATTGAAGCACATTTCAAAATTTTTTTTTTTTTAAAAAAATTTGGACAAGAAGAGGTGAATGCAATTAAATTGATTAATTAGCTAGAAGAAAGGAAGAAAAAAGGTGAACTGGTCTATGATGTCCGGGCTATATCATACAACGTGGAGAGACTGGCATCCTAAATCCCCCGAAGGACGTATAAACCAATTTATTTGTAAGAGATGTCGTGCTTCGAAGAAAAGCATCAGTAGAGGAAGTGAAAAATCATTATTCTTACTACTGTTTTCCAAATACATGTACCCACTTTTAGTGAGACACTAAAAAACACTTTAAAAATATCCCAAAAAAAAAACACACACACATACAACAAACACCATCATCATCATCATCATCATCATCATCATCCTCCCCCTCTTCCCATTCGCGGCCCTCTCCAAATGGCACCGGCACGCCCCCGCCTCCAACCTGCCGCCCTTACCTCTCTCTCCAACCTTATCCTTATCACTCACACGATACGGCAAGGCTACAACTAGGGGGTGCCAACTAGTCCGACTTGATCGTGTTATTTGCGAGTTTGTTCGTTCAAAACTCGAACTCGAGCCTTATTATTTGAATCTTGAACTCAATAAATTTTTAAATATATTTGTATGATTTAATTTTTTTTAATATAAAATATCTTTTGTATTCTTTATTTATAATTATATAAGGATTGAGTTCGAACAAGTTAAAATTGGGTTGAGTTTAAATACTAAAAAGCTTAAAGAATTCAAACTCAACTATTGCATTTCTAATTGCGAACCTGTGAGCATATGTGTTTAGATTGAAGATTATTTCACTTTATTTATACCTTATTTATACATACTGACTTGATCAACACATTTTCAATCACTTTTTTATCTCACATACATCATATAAAAAAAATAATATTGTAAAAATATCTCAAATAATTTACGATCCAATCACCTTTGTATTAGCCTCCAACAACTTTGCCACCCTCCATCTTGCGCCGCACTTCATGGCCTATTTTGCCATGTGTCGATCATTTTTGGGCAAATCCGAAGCCATTTTGGAAAGTATCCCAAACATATATAGTATAGTAAAAAAACCGTATCCAAGAATATTTCTAAAATACATTATGCATCCTGAAAACTAGTTTTATGGACGGACCAATCCTGAAAACACTAGTACTGTAGCAAACAAGCCATTATGCATCCTACTGTTGTTTTTCACTATAGAGTGGGGTACCCTTGTACTAAAACAAATTGAGATCGACGAAGACGGAGAGGGAGAGATATTATTCTCCGTCAATCTGCCAAAATATTTCCCCAAGAACAAAAAGCACATATATCATATCATATCATATTACAGTATATCATAACCGAAAAAAAATTAATGAAAAATAAAAAAAGAATCAGCCCACCGCCACGGCAGGCAGGCAGGCCACCAACAAATAAAAAACCCACTCCTCCCCCTTGGAGTTCCTCCTCTTCACCCCTTGCACTCCCAGCAGCCCAGAGAGTGGAAAATGCTACTACTGATACCTTGCGAAAAGATGGAGAGAACAAGCACGGCAACAAACACCGCTCTGCTATGCAGTATGCAGCTGTGTACATTAACCGTCTTTCTCCCTGAACTTCTCTTTTCATCTTCGCTGCCCTTGAGTTTGAAATGGAGGAGTTTCATTTTTGCTCCTTTGTTTTTTCAGACCATTTTGCAGTAGGGAGTGGGGAGTACTATTTGGTTGCTTTCTTACTGGCTTACTGCAGCTGGCTCAGCACACATCATGAACCGTAACATCCATCATCAATCTATGTGCATTTTTCATTCTGACTTGATTGTTTCCTCTCCTTCTCTTCTTTACAGTTTTCTTTTTTGGTTGTAGATCTTTAAGTCGCTTTCGTTTCCCTGATTCTCATGCCGAAAGCGACCTATCATATCCTCCTCCTCCTCCTCCTCCTCTCTGATTTAATATTGCGGTCTTCCGTATTTCATGCGACCGCCCTTCTTATAGGTATATGCTGATGCCTGTATGTTTTGAGTTTCCGGGTCTCCTTTTCTGCTTCCTTCCTCTACACATCTTTTGAACTGACCATCTTTTTATCCCTTCCGTTGAGGGTTTTGCCGGTTCTTTTCTATTCAAGCCAGCTCTCATCCACAGAGGCATATATATGCCCCTAATCTGGTGTTCAAAAGTTAGGTAAATTTAGGCATCACAAAAAGCTTAGGGTTTCCATCCAAAATTCCTCGCCACAAGTATTCCGAGTATCAGTTTTGGTAGTATATTTACTTTACTACTGCTAGTTTATGAGTCTATTGTTTTAGAGAGCGTTCATTTGTATCACTTTATCGTTTGAAAAACTTGGGCTGAGTCCTACCGTCTCTCCTGTTCTCGTCTACATTAGCCTCTTCTTCTTTTGTTCTAGTAATGGCCAGCTATTGATTTTCTGGTTCCTTTGTGGCTTTGATGATTTACGGTATGTGGAAAATAACGGCTCTCGACTTCTTTCTTCCTTTTAACTCTTATTTCAATCTCATTACTCAGGTTAGGGTTGCATAATTGTTGACTCTGCCCGGTAATAAGAATGTTTACTTAGATGAATGTTAAGTTTGTTTGCAATAAGGGATTAAAAGGGAAAAAAAAAAAGTTTTGACTCCATGTTTCTTTGGTCTCCACAAGCATTGACCCCATGGCTGTAGTACTACGTAGTTCTGTTTCCTTCTTGCTTCTAGATTTTCTAGATTTCAGGCAAATCGCTTTATGATTGATGATGCTTCCTAGCACTCCTTGCTAGTAATTAGGTTCCAATTTCACCATGTCTTAAGAATAAAGGCCGTTTTAGATTTATGTTCATCAGCTGCTCAAAGTGCCAGCCTTTTGAGCTTTGTTCTGGGATGAGTAATGTTAGTATCACTTCCCGATGATTTTTGTATTTGGGGTTCACTTTTCTCCATTATGCCAATTATTGTGAGCTATCCTTTGTATTGTAGTTTGGCCATTGTGTAATTGGATTGTGCATGAAGAACAAGATGTAAATTTGAAATTCCTGCGGCTGCTTTTTGAACTTATTGCATTTCATGTGTTCCTTGAAGCCTTGTAAAGAAACAAAATAAGATCAGGTTATTTGCATTTCAGCACAACTACTTCAAGCCCGAAGAAGCCTGTTGCTTTATAATTGATCTTCTCCTTTTATGTTAAATCTGTTTCGCACCTGTGTAGCTGTGTGGTTTATGCCGGTTGCTGGTGATGACATTAACAGCGTTAATCGATCCCTTGGACTTTACGTTGATGTCTGGATAGAAGTTAAAAGTTGTCCATCTGTTCAATGTGAATAATGGATGAAAGGTTCCCGTTAGGTTTCTTGGTTAAATGGATGCAGACTTAACAAAATTTTAATATGGTTTAATTATCATTGAGAAGTGAAGGAGGATCAAATTGGTCATATAATGACTTGCTGATCATTTTCAATCATTGGGGAATTTGATACATATTGAGCAGCTGAATGATGCGATTAATAGTGTCATTAGGAAATTGTGTGAGAGAGCTTCCTTCAGCCCACTCATGGATGAGATCAGGGGTTGAATTAGCTGCCGACTCATTCACTTAATCACTCAGTAGAAAGATAAGATTTGTGCTACTGTGGTTGAGTGAATGATGCGGGAGATAATTTTCTACCGGCTCCGTCTGTGCTTGGACTGAAGGGAGCTCCCTCTTGGTGTTGCCTTTACTTCTCTCTGATCCAAATGTTTCCTACTGTGTACTTGTTTTGAAATGTCAAGCTTATTTTTCTCCCCACCCTGATTAGAACATCTTACTGTTCATTAACATGGCTTGTCTCATGAGCTTCTGAGGGCTTATTACTACTTTTTTCCATTTCCCATTTATTGGAGAACTGCTTTCACGCAGGACTATCTATTTTTTTTTTTTTTAATAAATTCGTCCTTGGTCAGATCCTTAAGTTCTGGTCAAACTGGTATGCTTTCTTCTGACATGTAATTCTGCTTGACGTATGGGCTAACAAAATTACAGATGTTACTAGTCATTTATTGCAATCCACCACCGCACCTTTCATCTTTAACCATTCTCCTTTTGCACTCCAGATGTTAGGTTTTGAGTTGACCGCGGTCTTAGCATGATTGTAGAGCACTGCAAGTTATATCCCCGCAGTGATTGTGGTGTGTGTTGTACCGGCTGGCTTTAACAGGCATACTCCCTCAGAAACATGTTACCGAGGGGCCTGCCATGCAACCTGTGAATTGTCATGTCCTTTCCTGCAATGTGTCAGCTAATTTAAGTGGGTATGTTCCGGTAATGGAGTACTTTGCCGGGTAGAGAAACCACCACTAGGGAGGGCCATTTGCTCTCTTTGTCCCTAAATCATTTTGGACCCTTCAAGGGCATGGGCATGGGCATGGATGGGTGATAGCAGTCGAGCTATCCTAATAGATGAGACTGCACCAGATGCTGCTCTTCGTTAAATTTTTAATCCCATTTCCATTAGTTCTCTCTAAAATTGTCAGGTTCCTTTGGCTAGCTGATGACTTGGGAGGATTCTAACATCATCCAAGTTTTGCAGGGAAATGTTGCATACTGGAGTTCAATATATAGCTTTCTCTCCAGTCCAGTCCAGTCCAGTCATCGAGGAGGCTGTTTCTTAAAGTTGCTAGCAAAACCCCCTCCTCCTTGTCATCATCTGGAAAGAAATAGAAAGGAAAAGACTTCCACTTGCAGGTTTTTGTTCCTCCTCTACTGGTTAAAACTCTATGGATAAAGGAGAAGCATGATCGATCCCCCTGGATGCCTTGTATCATCATGATTCTCTCTCTTTGCATGGCTCATCTCACTGCATAAGAAACTTTTGTTAATAATAATAATAATATGGTGAACAGTGCCTTAATAAAGCTGCTGCATTTCATTTCTTTCTTAAAAAAAGAACCTCTTGATTTGTGGAAGATGATGATCCTTAGTTAGTTGTATATCAGATAAGTTGTGTACTTTTGTAGCAAGTTGGCGATGAAAGTAGTATAGTATATGATGTACAAGTACCATAGGGCCTGGAGCTAAACTCACTTCAACTTTGCTTTAACTTGTTGGGAAAGTACGCTTGTGCCTTTTTTATTATTATTATTATTATTATTATTATTTTATAATAAGCCGAGAGCATCGGTGGTGTTTGTTTGTTGTTTTTTATGCTGTGTCAGCTGCATGGGTAATCATACAATTGATTTTGCCAAAAATGGATGGGGACTTCAAATCCCCTGTTCTGTTCTGGTAAATACTACTACTACTACTACTACTACCTCCGTAGATTGATATGGTATTACTACTATTTGTTTATATATAATTAATATAGCACTCCTCTCTCGAGCCTCCTTTTTTTTTTTTTTTTTTTTTTTTTTTTTTTACGGAAAAAATCAATGGATTCCCTCTGTAGGGTAGGGTGGTCCCGAATTTCTTCCACGCTGTTTGTGGAATGTAATCGATGAACTTTTCGATAGATAGTCTATTCTATTCTACTGTTGATTTTGTAACCCAAAAAAAGAGAGGACTAAACAAGCCTTTAGGGTTTAATGGGAACACATTCTTGTTGCCATCTCCTCCTCTGGGACGCGGGGCTGGAGCGGTTGTTCTGACAACCGCTCCTGAAGGTTAATACCATTTGTACATGGTGTAACATCATCTGTACAAGGTGTAACAATCTTGGAACAACAGCGAGTAACAATGGAACAACATTTTTGTGGGTCCCACACGGCGTGAAAATCGAGTTACAAGACGTGATCTGAACTGCACAAATTTTTGAGGCCTCATTCAGGCCGTGAACTGCCTGGGACGGTTGTCCCAGGCCCCTCGTCCCCTCCTCTGTGCTTTAATCACATTCATCACCAAGCTGATATTATTATTATTTTGATACTACAGACTGCAGACTATTATTTTGTGGATTCAGGTAAAAGACATAATACAGATGACAATCTGTACAGAGATTGTCAACTAGTGTGTTTTTTTTTTTTTTTTTTGGGCTATAATATATATAGCCTTGGTCGTGTTGTTAAACTGTTAAAGTGAGAGAGAGCGGAGGAGGGGTCAAAACCCATGGATGGAAAGATGTTGGTGGTATAGTGGTCCCTTCCTTGGCGTCTTGTAGTGCCCATCGCCTGATGCAAAAACTCGTCATCTTTTCCCTCCCAATGTTGAAGCAACAGTAGCAGGAGTGTACGTATACGTGTGTCGGCTGCATGTGGAGATGTTCTCCTCTTGCTCTTGGGTACGTGCGTTAGGCCGGGTGCCATTCAGTTTTACAACAATTGGATCGAGTGAGTAGTGTTTGTTGAAGTATTCTAAAATTTTACTGTATAAAAAAGTTTTCTAGAAACATTTTGAAAAAAAAATAAAAATTTGTCTGTTTTCCTCTTTATTTATTTATGGAGAAGGCTTTTTTTTTTTTTTTTTTTTTTAGCGTCTCTCGCTTCCCTCTCCCCCATCCTTATCACCCCAGCCATTCACTTGCTCGTATCCCTATTTTCCACCTGTGCCACTCCTTCCTCCGCAGCTTTGCCAGTCATCTTTCTTCCTCTCTTTTACCTGCTTCCCTTCTTCGCCGTGCTTCGGGGAAAGAGAGAGGAGCGATAGATAGATGGGTGAAAGAAAGTGTTAGGAAGAGAGAAGGGGAGGGGTGACGGATAGGATGGATGGAGTAAATGAGCGGACTCGGAGGAAGAGGAAGTGGAGAGATGGCGCAAAACTTCCCTACTTAGAAGTAAATTTCTTGCCGCGTCTAATTAAAACAATACCAAACTGAAACGGAAGCTAAAAGAAAGGCAAGGGAAATAGCAACTGAAGCCCGATTGTGAAATTAAATTCAGGAAACCCGACCCATCCACCGCTGCATTTTCCCGTTACTTTTTGACTGCGAACTACATATATTCTGATTAAGTAGATAGAGCCTTTTCTTTACTTCAACGGTTTGATGATTGGGTATGGATTAAGTGTCAAAGCCCACCAAAATGCCTGACCCCACATGAATGCTTGTCAAATTGATTCCCATATGAGTTAATTCCGTTGTTGTTTGGGTCAAGCGAGACTCAATTGGCAAATTGACGATGCCTAGGCGAGGCAGACAAGTAAAGGCAATCCAGATGTATCCATACACCTTAAACTTCCCGTCGTGTTGATGTATCTTCATTATTATGAACTGTCAATCAATTCATTTGGTCCGATTCAAGAACCTACTAATTCGACTAAAACACCACACGCTGCAATGCTTAACTTGATTTTATGATACCACTGGGGGAGGAGTGCCCGGCATCGCGCGGGTGTTTGGTGTTCGTGGTTAAAGAAGATTTTTTATTGGATAAATAATAGTATGTTCTGATAAGCCAAGACTAACAATAATACATTCTAATTGCAGCACACATTTGTACACTTTGTTTTATTAATGCTTTTGCAATTTTTACCATTTTCAAATGATCCCTACAGATGTCAGTTAAAAATCGTCCAAAATGAGACATAAGTTGTTTCAGACAAAGAAATATCCTACAATGGCTAGTTAAAGCAACGTGTTAATATGTTTTTGTGTTAATTGCACAATAAAAGTCACAATTCAATTCAATGTATCTATAACACTATTTCAGTAATTACACCAACACATAAACTTATATAAGTTGTACTCGATGCAAAAATGGTTGCAAAATAATTCTATATTTTAGAAATACTCAGATATCTCAATAAATCAAAACTTTAAATATATCAAAATAAGAGCATTTCTGTAAATATATCCAAACATATGTTGCCCTTAGTTGTACCAAAAGTTTTTAAAAAAATACACAACATTTCATATTCCCAAAAAGTCTCTATCCATGCGGTTGAAATTCAAACCTCCCTTTGACTACAACTCATTCTTATATAATATAAGCATTCAATCAACAAATGAACAACACTTTACTATTAAAAATACTTATCTTTCAACCTCCACCAAATTTAAATATTGGTTGAATTTAGTAGGAGTCTCTTGCTGGATTATTAGGTGTATTAATTCAAGACCAAAGTCTTTAATAGTGCTCGAACTCTGACTCTTTGAATTCCTTCTCTCAAATTGATTCACATATTTAATTGAAATTAGAGCAAGAGAAAACTTATGACTTCATCGCAATCTTTTTTTTTTTTGTCATTCATCGCTATTTTATCTATATTTTATTCTATCATAATCTATCTAAGAGGAGGTACAACTGGGCCTATGAGGGACAGGTGGAAACTGAACCATCACCAGACAAAACAGGTGCACTACGCACCTACCTGAATTTTTTAGAAGAGTCACTTATTGTAGCAATTGGTGGGAGGCAAGGTTTGAAACCTTAACCTTCCACCCCACCAAGCTCACCAAGCCTTCACCGCAATCTATGAGGCTCAAAATTTGAACCCAATATCTATTAAGAGGAATAACTCTAAGACATCTCTCGTAATTATTAATTAAGGTTTTATTTAATAATCTAGTTTAACACTTAAATTTAAAGGATCCAGATGTTAATATGTTCAAATGCAATAACTAAAAGTAGACATTTGAATTAATTAAGGGTATTAAATGTTCTAAACAAAACTTGCTCCAAAAAATAAATAATAAACTATTCACCTATTACGGTAATTTAACAGATTCAGATTTCAAATTTTAATTTTATCAAATGTATCCTAACTCTAGAGGTTATTGTTGGTTTAAGAAACTAAAAAAATTCTAAAATTGACCCTCAAAGACCCTAGATTAGGGGTCATACTGAAACCAAATAGTTCAACTTGAACTCGCGAACTACTACTCTATTTTGAGAGAATCAACAGGAAGATTTGACGAATCTAATCGAGTTTTCTATAACATATATATTTAATTTTTTATATTTGTTATTGTGAAATGTCGATTATATCCTTCATTAAAAATTATATGTAAATATTATTTTTTAGTTGGTAAGGTGGATTAGACTCAAATAAGTTTGATTAAGTTCAATTAGTCTCGAATAGAATCGATTAAACTTGATTAGATTCAATTAAATTTAATTAAACTCAATCTTGAATTTGAACTCAAATAAGCTAAATTGATCGGATTCAGTTCCCGACTGAATTCGAATGCATCCCTACCCTAGATTCCGTAAGCTAAATTGATCGGATTCAGTTCCCGACTGAATTCGAATGCATCCCTACCCTAGATTCCGTAAAGAAGAAAACCAATTGTCTTTAAAGAGAGCAAATAATTGGTTGGCAGAAATAATAATACTACTCCACTAGTTGTACATCAATCATTGGGCCCATTTTTAGTCTCCGATACGATTCTCACCGACCAAACGACGAGACCCGCCACACCCCCCTCCTCTCCAACACAGCCCCGCGGCCTCTCTCTCTCTCTATATTCCCTCTGGTTTCTGGTTGTGTTTGTCCTTCAATTAACCATGGAAAACATCTCCTAAATGTGTGGTTCTGTAATAGTGGCAGTGATCCCTCCGAATTCAGAGGTTGAAGCTTCTGCAGCTTGAGGTGAACCCCTTCAACAGGTATACTAATAGTTTCAATAACTCATGGAGTGAGTTCTAATACAAAAGAAATTTAAAAATTGGAGTTTTTAGGGTTTTTGACTGAAGTCTTTGTTTGATCACATCTTTCCTGGTTTCTTATGATGAATTCATGAGCAAGCGTATTTGAATTCAAGTCTTAGCAAAAACCTTATATTTTTTAGGATCATCGGAAGATGCTCAATTGGCTGTAATGATCGAGTAATTTCATGTATTATTTATAAAGTGTACAATTTAAAACTCTCATCTCTTTATTATTTCTAATTGAGTTCTGATTGGACTTTCACTTTTCTTTCCTCGTTTTTTACTATTTCACTTGTGTTTTCTGTTTGGTGTAGTATAATGGGTAGTGAAGTCGTAAAGAAAAGATGCTAGAGCTTGGCAACAATACTTTGCTGAGCGTTGTTAGGGTAGCATGTTCTTGTAATAATATTCTTGGGAATTTTTCTTGGACAACCAATTTGATCGAATCTTAGAAATTAGTGCACAGGGATGCATAATTTGCTAAGATTTGTGGTTTAAAATGTGAACTACTGTTTGAATTCAAGGTGGCTTTTACATTGAAATTTCCATATCTGAATAGATTTTTGAATTAGCAATTCGCATAAATTTGATGCCTGTGAAGCATGACCTGACTTTTGCGGTGACAAATTGAACTGTATTCTGACTCGTTGACTCATTGCACTGTTCCATGCTTCGAAAATGTCATCATTCCTTCTTCTCTTCCCCTTTACTTTTTGCCAACTTTTTCCCCTACCTAATCAATACTCGAGTAATTTCCCTAAAGGGAGATATGTTTTAAACCTATCTATTGCAGACGTTTGTTTGAACTGCCCTGATGTTGATATGTACTTTTCCTTTCTCCAGTTTTTCTTGGAAATGGTCCATAACTGATAGTAGTTTTGGTATCCTATCACGGTGTATTTTCATTTGTAACTTCCTACTCTCTGTAGGTTCTAGTTGCTGGATTGCTGATGACCATTCTTTCATCTCCCATGAGTTCAGTTGTTTCAACATCTCAAGAAGTACTCTCGCCAGTAGGTTTTGGTTCCTGCAGATCTCCAACAGCTGAGGTATCTGGTCCTTTTGGCCATTCTGAACCAGACTTTAATGACAATGATGAAGCAGAACTGTTCTCTGTATCATGGAATCAGGATTATGGTTGCTTTGCTGCTGGCACAAGTCGTGGTTTCCGAATATACAACTGCGATCCTTTCAAAGAAACCTTCAGACGTGATCTTAAAAATGGGGGATTTGGGATTGTTGAGATGTTGTTCCGATGTAACATTTTGGCACTTGTTGGTGGTAAAGCCAATGCCCAATATCCTCCAAATAAGGTTATCATTTGGGATGATCATCAGAGCCGGTGCATTGGTGAATTGTCATTTAGATCTGATGTTCGTGCAGTGAAATTGAGGCAGGATCGTGTTGTTGTCATTCTTGAGCATAAGATATATGTTTACAATTTTATGGACCTTAAGCTTCTCCATCAGATAGAGACTTTGGCCAACCCAAGGGGACTTTGTTGCCTCTCACACCATTTAAATACTTCTGTGCTAGCTTGCCCAGGTCTTCGCCGAGGGCAAGTTCGAGTTGAACACTTTGGCTTAAACATGACAAAATTGATCAAAGCTCATGATTCCCAGTTATCATGCTTAACTTTGACTATGGATGGTCTGCTTCTTGCAACTGCTAGTACCAGGGGCACTTTGATAAGAATTTTCAATACAATGGATGGTACTCAGTTACAGGAGGTACTGTTCCAGCATCAAATTCCTGTATTCTAAACTTTTATTAGGTCTTGGGGTCTTTGGTAAATGAGAAGGATTTTAAAGTGGTTATAGTGAATAAAACTGCTAAAATGTTTTTCTCTATTTACTATTTGTCTGGATAATATTGTTTTTAACAAAAGAAAATAAAATTGGAACAAGAAAGAAAAAGATCTTTGTTCAAGTCTTTGGTGGCCATTGCCAAAAGAAAGATGTTCAAATTTTCCCTTGTCAAAGTGAAGCGAAGAAGAGAAACTGAAGTAGACAAACTAAAAAAGTATATGTTTTAGGGTAGACTTGAAATATATTGTGCCAATTGCAGCAATTCACATTCCATATGAAAAGCTAAATTTTGCTTTCGAATCTTGGATCTAGTTTATGACACATCTGATCTATAAAGATTATTTGTCCATCAAAAAGTTGTACCTGTGTTTCTCTGAAAAAAGAAAAGAACTCAGAATCAAAATCAAGGGCCGCATCTGATGAAGTACTGATCTCCCAGTGAAGAAAAAGATCATTTTTTGGAGTGAGTTAATAGAAGAGAAGGGGTTTCATCTTTGAGGGTATAGCTATTCAATGAGATGCTTTTCTCTTTAATACTCGACTTTCTTTAGAATGCAAATTGAAATCTGTCTACAATACCTGGTATGCAGAAAATTCAATTGTAGTATGTGATGTTGTTCACTGCATGGAAAATCCACTCTTTTGGCTTTGGCTTCTAAATTTGTAATGTTCTCTTCTATGATACTTAATATTGTCGCTTCAAGTCTGTGCTTGACTGGCAGCTGATGTTCAATGTTATGTTCTTTTTTAGGTTCTAATTTGTTCCATAGTACTAATATTTGTTTCAATGTATTTCCTGCCATTTTGCAAAGCTTAGTTTTTTTTACATTATTTGGATTTACATAGGTACGCAGAGGAGTAGATAGAGCTGATATTTATAGCATTGCTCTATCTCCGAATGTTCAGTGGCTGGCCGTTTCCAGTGACAAAGGTACTGTACATATATTTAGTCTCAGAGTACGGGTGGTAGGGGAAGACCCTGAATCTGATCCAGGCACTGCTAAGAATCCTGCATTGTTTTATCAAAATTCTACTTCTTCACTTGATGCTCTCATTTCTCCTAGTACTGGTGCCAACCCTGGTTCATCACTGTCTTTTATGAAAGGTAAGAGGAATTTTGTAGCTTCAATGATAATAAAATCTAATTTCCAATCACGCACTGCTTATATGGTTTGTGCTTCATCTTCTAAACAATATAACACTATGAATAGATTAATTATCTGAAGCTGAACTTCCATGTATATCAGGATTAATGGCCTAGGATTCCTACAATGTTGTTTATCCAGTGCAACCCTATTCTGGATGCATCTAAAGCAGGAAAAATTCTTTGTAAATCAAACTCAGTAAGAAAAGAAGGTTTATTGCGAATTAACCTTATGGAGTAAGAAGACTTTCTGACGGTTATACTACTTGGTTGTTTTTATAAACCAGACTCTTTTCACAGCTTAGCCTTTTTTGTATGTCTTCTAAGCAGAATAGCACCCAAATAGAAAGGCATGAGAAAGGCTACCACTTGTTCAACAGTTATAAAGCAACTTGCTCAGTAGTAACATTTAGTTATGTGGTTGGAAGTTTCACGCTTATATATATTGACATATATTGTGCAGGTGTATTGCCAAAATATTTCAGCTCAGAATGGTCATTTGCACAGTTCCACTTATCAGAAAGCATACAGTTCATTGCAGCATTTGGATCTCAAAATACTGTTATCATTGTTGGCATGGATGGAAGGTATGCTCTTATATAGTTATGACAATTCGATTTAGTTCCCCCATCTGAAGGTGTTTGTACCTAGGTTTGAACTGTACTCTAGTTCTGCTCATGCTTCTTTAAGTTGGGTGCTTAGCAGGATAAATGTGTTGAAATGATATTTGAATGTTTTGGAAATGCTTATTTCCTAATCAGTTATGTTCTTTTTGTGTTTCTTGGCCTTCATTACCAGCTTCTACAGGTGCAGTTTTGATCCTGTGAATGGAGGGGAGATGGTGCAGCAGGAATATTTCCGCTTTCTAAAAAGTGAAAGTAGACCTAGGTAGCACCGCTCAGATCTGCTTGCCCAGTTTGTTCACCCTTCAAGAGGCCTATAATTGTATAAAACGTACGTCTGTGTAAATGCGTACCGTTGTTGTAATTCTTCAAGAAATTTTTTTTTTGGATGGCGCGGGGAAAGGGGCTGGGGGGGGGGGGGGTTTAATTATAGTAATAAGGTGCATTCTTCGTGGTACTGCACTGTTTGATGCGAATTTGTTAGTTGAGAACTTGTACAGCAATGATAATGTACATATCAAGCCATTCTTGCCTTCAGATTAGAGGAGTCATCCGTGCGATTAGTATACTATTGTTTTTAGAAGTACTTTCATTTGTAAATTTCGCTAAATCTCCATCATTGACCGTGAAGCATGTGCAAACTAGGCAGAGGTGTCAGATGTCTCAAAAATGTTTGTTTTTGGGTGTTTCGGAGGGGTAGAGGTTTTTTTTTGGTGGGGAGGGTGGGGGGAGGGGTTTAAGGAATGAACACAAATGTCAGATGCAAGCAGTGGCTCCAAAAGTAGATGACAAAACAGAAAAGAAAAAAGGCTCCATTCATGTTGTATTCTAGTTTATAACACAAAATCTGTTGAGTGATAACAATATCCTTATTTGTATACGAGTTCCAAACTCGTTCCTGGAGTAACTGCTTTAGCTACTAATTCAAGAAATTGATACAGAATCCTGGGCCTGGATATTCACAGGATGCTCCATTCAACTTCTATCTGGAAACTGGCTCTTATAATTTAGATCTGAATGTCTTCTGATCATCAAAAACAATCATCACCTTTCCAATTGCCTTCCGATCTTTCAGGGCAGAAAAGGCAAGATTTGCCTGCCAAAAGCAGAGAATTTGAGTCAAGGGTTTTTGATCCACTTCAAAATTTTCGCTAAAGTGAAAATTTTCCACAATTGCTCTTCCCTGAAACTGCAATTCAGACGGGAAGAAGATCCAAAAACTCCAAACACTAGTAACAATTTCAGGAAAAGAAGAGTCTTCTGAAAACCAAAAAAAGTATAGTGTCTTCTAAGTTTAGGTAAGTCTACACTTTTTTTTTTATTTTTTACTTTTTAGGCAGGTGAATTGTGGGATTTAAGAAGAGAGGAGGGAGAAAGGAATTTCTGAACCCAAGACCTTTAACTCCAGAGGCCTTAACCTTAATCATTAGACCGAGGCCTCTTGGGAGTTTAGATAGGTTTACATATTCTGTTGTACAAAAATTATTTTGGAGCAGTTCACAGGTTCTAGTTTATGTCCTCCCATCTTTCATTAACGAGACTGAGTTCTCAAAATTGACTTTAGTTATATCTCTTCATTTTTCCAGAAGAATATTTTCACTAACCTAATTTCAAATTTCAAAATTTTCAACTACACAGAAGAGCATGTGTTTAGCGAATATTCAAAAGTTATCAAAATGTCTCAATCAAATTCAGTGGCAGGTCTTTGTATCATAGATTCAAACTATATAAGAAGAAGCCCCAATTTCCAGTTTTTGGTACCCATTAAATCACAAAGTAAACAAATCAAAATAGCTAGTATTTTGTTGCCTCAATCTTATTTTACTCTTAACATCTAAGCCAAATGGACTGGCCTTTTAGTTGCATTGTTCTTTGACTCTTAAGAAGCAAATAAACATGGCCTATGAAAGAGGATGAAGTCGTGTGTTCACAACATCCAGCTGGAAGGAAAATATTGGAGGATACATTTGAAGTGGCACCCTTGTAATTTTTAATTTCTTGAAGATTTGATTGGTTATTGGGAGTTTTTCTTTTCGAATAGAAAGAGGTAACTGGTAAGCAAGTCATTCAGAACCTGAATACAAGTAGACCACTGACGTTACCCTAAGATTGTCTGGCCCTTGACCAAATTTTCATTCCTTATGTCCATGCAGGTTCTGTTTAGACACATGATTTAATGTGGCAAAGCAAACGGAAATACTAAGTTGCCTTTAGTTTTGCAAAACCTTTACTCCACATAGAAGAAGGAAAGAAGAGGTTCTCACTTCTGACAGGCTGAAAGCATGAGAGATGTTAATGGTAATTAAGCCACTTGCCAACCAGGATAGCAGCTCCTTTAGGGAATTTTGAAGTACAACTGGTCGATGTATCATATAGCTTCCCCAGTAGAGACCATGAACCGTCCAGTTCTAGAACATAAGGAAGCACATATCAATATAAATAATAGCAATACTTCCAGAGAGGAAAGAGCAAGTTCATAGCATCAGGTACAAGATTATGGTGTCAGCCACTAGCATGAAAAATATAGTCATGACAGCTCCAACCCATGCCATATAGAGCAAGCCTCCAATTTGGAGCATGCAAAAACTTGCCCAATAGGAGATTAGCATCAGAAGCAAGCCTCCAATTATGAGATTAGCTACTAAGAACAGATTATTTCTGTAACTTGACCTAACAAATCATCATATGGTAAAATCTCAACCTAGGATAAACTACATTTTGATTATTTTAGATAGAATCCTCAAATAGGAGAAAAGCAAGGAAAGCAGAAAATTTCTAGGAACCTCAAGACTGAGGAATAAAATCCAGCTTTGAACTTGACCTTATGAATCTGGTCCAAGGAAATGATTTCTTTATTCCCTCAGAAGAATGATATCCAAAAATATGAAACAAGCAAGCACCAAATAAGTCATATAATTCCTAGTGATACCTTAACGAGAGCAATATTTGCTGGGATAACAGGCACATCCCCACTTGCAAAACCTATTACCAGAATGTGAGCTCCCCAATTCAACAACTTCATAGCTTCCTTTGTAACTTTACCACCAACAGGATCATACAAAACATCAGCTCCTTTTAGCTTTCTTGCCTGTAGGAATCCCTTGACGCTTTCTGTGACATTTCCTTTACTCAAGTCAACAACATGATCAACACCTAGGGTCTTCAAAAGCTGAACCTTGTCATCTCCCCTGAAATTTTAATACACAGACCAAGTCCAAGTTATGCTGGCCCAAGGTTCGTAAAAGCAACAAATTACTCGAAACCCTTTTGAATTTAGGTCTGCTTTGTTGGAGTAAGATTAATTTCTTGAAAAGTTTTTATGCATACTCAGTTGTACCAATAACCAGAAAACATATCATGTGCAACCAACAGGACCCTGAAGTTTCTAAAACTACATTAACCACTAGTAGAATACCTAGCAACGGCAATAACAATAGCGCCGCAAGCCTTTCCAATTTGCACGGCCGCAAGGCCCACTCCTCCAGCAGCACCAAGTACCAACAACACCTATGGAGTGGTATTCAATTATAAATCTTCGTTTTACTAGTCCAAGGCAATAATATAAAGAAATGCTAGATGTGGAGGCCAATTGTGGATTTGTCCACCTCGGCACCGTCTCAGGGAACGACCCGTGGTAGTGCTTGGAGGGTACCAGGCATTCAACCCCAAGACCCTTATACCAAAGGACCAGGGTTCGAATCCTGGGGAGGCCCCCTCCAAGCACTACCACGGGTCGTTCCTAAGACGGTGCCGAGGTGGACAAATCCACAATTGGCCTCCACAAAAAAGGCCGGCCTTTTTTATAACCCATTCACAACAACCAAAAAAGGGAACAAAAAAAAGTGAACAACAACCCCAAGAAAGCAGAAAAAGGGAACAACAACCAAAAAAGGGAACAAAAAAAAGTGAAGAAAGCAGAAAGCAGAGAAGCTAGCATTATTAGTGCAACCTGATTAGGCTGCAATTGAGCTCTGTGAAGCAGGGCCAAATGCGAAGTCCCATACGCCACAGGAAGTGCACCCGCAGCCACTAGATCACACCCTTCCGGCACTCTAAACCTTCAGTAGTAGCAGGAAAGTTTTACAGAAACAAAATTAATGAAACTATTCAAGACCAATAATACTTAGTTCTATTATTTGGGTAGAAGAAGATGAAGAAGCTAAAACTTGAATCAATCAATTGAAAAAGAGAAAGAAGGAAGGGCGGACGGACTTACAATTGGGCTTCATCGGCGACGATGAACTGTGCAAAGGAGCCAAGGGAGGCCAAGGAGCAAACAGCATCGCCAGCTTTGAATTTAGTGACTCCGGAACCAACAGAATCGACGACGCCAGAGTAGTCGGAGCCGGGGATGAAGGGTAAAGGCGGCTTCTCCTGGTACTTGCCGAGGATCTGGAGATAATTGGCGTAGTTCAAGCTGGTGGCTCTGACTCGGACTCGGACAGAGGTGGGCGAGTTGAGTTCCGGAATGGGGTGAGTGGCTGTAAGAGTAAAAGGAGAGGAGGGGGAGTCGTCCAAAGGCAGCGTCGGGTCGCCGATTTTTTGGCAGAGCAAAGCTTCCATTTTGGTATGACAGTCACAGATACGGCAGATACGATACCCTCAATAAGGAAGTTTATTTTTATTATTTTTTTCTGTCAGAACGGCATTGTATGAACAATAAGGAAGTGTTTGGTTGATTGTAAATTGGTCTCCCATGGCGTTGCGGTTTTATGATTTGGAAGGAATGGATTGGACTGGATTATCGAAAGCGAAATTTCAGAAACCTCTTGCGGTTTGACTTTTGTAGGGAGCTTTCTTCTAGTTTAAAAAATTACACCTTCCACCCCATGATTTTAGTATTTCAATAATAATATAGACCTAATATACTAATTTTGTTCGCAAAAATCCTAAAATACCCCTTTGTTATTTAGAAGGAGGAAAAACTCACTAATAAGTTTTTTCCACATTGTAACTATTGTAAATTGCATAATCACCGCTCTAAAGTGCCTAACGAACTTGTTAAACCACTTCACCTTAATTTGTATATTTTTATAATTTTGATAGTCTACCATTGCCGTCGCAAAGCTTCCCATGCAAATCAACTGGGACAATTAAAGTTTGCATTCAATATAATCTTTAGCCTCCTTTTTTTTTTCCTAAACTTAATGTTTGAATTGACCATTATCATTATCCAACCTTGTTAATGCTAAAATAATGTAATCCACCAAGAATGACAACATGGAGCAACCAAAAGCAACACTAAAGACCATATCTTATTGCTCTAGGCAAATCTAATTGCAGTTTTTATATTTCAAAAAGTTTTTTACACAATTGGCATAACACCCCTAACCTTCCTTAATCCACATTTCTTTTTTAGCTATCGCTTTATTTTCTTGTATGTACTTTGTATCATCACTATATTTTTCACCTTCATTTAGTTTAACAATAAATATGATACGACAACTTATCATTTTGCAATTCAATTCATAATATTTATAAAAATGAAAACAAAAAAAAGGATATATTTGAAAAAAAAATAATGAATTATGAGATGTAGGAGAAAAAAGGTAAAAAAAAGAGTTGGAGAAATAGAACAATAGCTTAGTTTGTGTGGCAACCATTGCTTTAGAATGAAAAACTAGTTATAATTGTAGGAATTTTTTTTTGTTTATAAGAATTATTTATAAGTGAAAGATATTATAATCATTTTACTACATGAATAGAGGCTAGTGTAATTATTCAAACCTAAAAGGAAGTAAGTAAAATTGTCAGAAATCTCAGGGTAGGTTTATGAAATTATCCCCTGCCTAAACAATAGTATAGGGAGTAGTTGTCAGGAGGAAAGAGATGGACAAAATTGCCGTCACGAACGAGGATTCTAAGCAAAGAGTACAGTACAATTAGCATTTCCAGAGTATTTGGAAGGTCATGACGTAATGGTACAAGTACACCACTATGCTATATAGCTTTTACACACTTTTGCTTTACCATGAACAATCCTCCCCAGCCCACCCAAAAAATATATACATACATACATATATATATATATGTACACACACAGCTACCCTCATGCTAAAATTATGAAATAGCGCTTCTTTTTTTTATAATTATTAAGGTCATTGCATTACTAACAAATAAATGACCACATTCAGTATAATGGGCTTGACGATTATTTATAAAAATAAATGTTTATTAGATCATGAACATTTTTTAATTATTATTTTATTTTTTAATTATTTTTTATCTCATATACCACGTTACATTTACATCTCGAAAAAGAAGGTACAGTGGATCTATTTGATTATCAAGACTTGAAAAATAAAAGGCTTCAAATTTTGTTTTACTTGTAACATAAATATAATTTTTAATCAAATTTATATTTCATATACATTATATTATAAAAAGTGTTATATATATATTTTATGTCAAATATATTTTTTCGAATAATCTCCTGTCCAATGGAACTCAGTATTTTTTTTTTCCAAATAATATTCTAGCCAAGCACACTCATGACAAGGGAAAAAAAATTTACTTTCTGGTCGAGCACTCGATGAGAAGGAAATAATAAGAAAGCGGATTCCAAATGAATCCATCTCTTATCACACACAGAACTGGTAGGTGGGGTGGTTGCCTTGCCTGCTTCTTTCCCTGCCAATTCTGGGTTAAAGGAAGTCCCGTTTGATCCCACAATCAACAATACGAAGAAACCCCCCCACCCTACAAATAAGATTGGTGTGCCCACACACTAGTAAAACTAGAAATGAGTATCTGTGGAGTGTATCGTCAGCAGTTAGTGTTGTTTGGGAGCTGCTGCTGCCCTCCTCCACAACCGCCAAAGCTTCTTCCACACCGCAAAACCCCACATGGGTTGCCACTGCAAACTTGTGGGAAATCTCAACTGGCTCTGATACATGATGCTTCCTCCAAATTTGTCCCTAGAGCTACTGCTTCTGCTGCTTCTTCTTCTTCTTCCCCTACAGAATATTCTGGTAGATCAAACCAGCCTTATATATATATATATATATATTGATTAATTAAACTTAAATTTTCTAGTCTGTTTCTTGTTGGTATATCATGTTTACAATGCTTCCTATTTGCTAGAGCGAGAAAAGAAGCGGTTAAATTTGCTTGCTTACTGATATAAGATGGAGCAACCACAAACCATCATCTAGTAGGAGTTATGTTTATACAAGTTTTACAGAATCAAAAGGGTCGCCAAAAGTATCCCTGTTTCTTATATACTGCAACGGTTACTACTACCTATCAGTGGAGTGGGTTCTTATGATGAGAGTCTTTGAATATGCAACGGTTACTACTACCTATAATTTAGGTTTACCTTCAAAATTAGCTTCTTTAACCAGAATGGCCTTTCTAATGAGATCAGTTCATCCGTATTAGCTCAATTTTCATCTGTATAGGCATAAAGTTAGTAAATTCAGTTCTCTTAATTGATTCTTTTTCTGAAGCAACGACAATCCTATGTCATTGCTACCCCCTTTCATAATTCTTTTCTAGATCTCTAAAGATTACTAAATTTTCCCTATTCAAGAAAATCCTAGTAAAGGAAATGGTTTCATAAGCTGTCTTTGAATATGTTATTGTAGAAGCAATCTTTTTTTTTCGAAAAGGAAGGAATATTTATCATTGTTTATCAGTATTCTAAGGGAAAATTCAACAAGATTTACTCCTATATATGTTTTCCAGTTCTCTCAGGGAACAGATTAGCTATAGCTGTACCAGAGAGAAAAGTAACTATTGTCATCCTCTTTCTCTGCCTAATGCTATCTATATCTTGACATGCTTCCTGCTAATTATTGACTATTCTGCACAGAGCAACTCGGGAGGTGTCAAACCCAAGCAAAAAAAAGCAGAGAATAGCAGGCGTAGATCAGGATGATTTACAAGATCCCAAACTTTTGGCTGATCCTGAGAGTTGCTTTTGTGAGTTTAAAGGGGTACAGATACACTACAAAATATTTGATGCTGAATCATTGGCTCCAAACTTGTCAGAAGAGGTTGCTACTACTCAAGTTTCTGATACCACTGAAAGGGCTGGTTTTCCCATGATTCTGTTGCATGGTTTTGGAGCTTCTGTATTCTCATGGAATCGAGTCATGAAGCCTTTGGCACAGGTCACTGGTTCAAAAGTTCTTGCCTTTGATAGACCGGCCTTTGGGTTGACATCATGGGTCGATCCAACCAATCATTCACCTGCTGGCAGTGCAGATGCCAGACCTCTAAATCCATACTCGATTATGTTCTCTGTAATGGCATCCCTGTACTTTATTGACTTCTTAGCAGCTGAAAAAGCAATTCTGGTAGGGTAAGTGATATATATTCAACCCTCTGTTCTTTTGATTGCTTCTCATATTGTGCCCATTTTCTGGTTTCTGAATATTTCATCATTAAGTTTTACTGCTAAGGGTTTCTATACTGGTTCTACTCTCGCACATTCTGTGGAGTAAACCATTGGAAATTAGCACAAACTCCTCAAATGTTGACCTGAATTGTAACAAGGAGAAAAATAGTCAATGTCAATGCTCTATACTAAATGTATTCTACTTCGGAGGCATACTGTCAATTGAGAGATAAATTTAATTATTTTTTAAGAAGAATACTTTCACACCTATGATCAATATTTTGGTACTTTCCCTCTCATTCTGTGAATGGTCCCTTTTCTGATAGTGAAAATCTCTGTTCATGCTTACTAAAAGCTAACAGATTCCAGGCACTCAGCTGGTTCGCTTGTAGCGGTTGATACATATTTTGAGGCACCTGAGCGAGTTGCTGCAATGGTTCTTGTTGCTCCAGCAATTTTAGCACCTCTTTTGAAACAGGATTTTTCCAAAGATAATCAGAGAGGTAAAAACAACAAGAAACAAGAGGAGCACTCAAATTCAGATAGTCACTGGAATCCAATTCTCAGGCTTTTCAGCATGTTGTCAAAGTTAACTAAACATATTGCTCAGGCAATTATGAATATGTTGAAAGGGATGGGAGATATGATAAATTATGTGTACAAGAAGGCTTTATCTGCACTCCTCCGCTCAGCCATTGGTGTAATGCTGGTATTAAATTTCTTTTCGGGATAAATTTTCATTATTCTCTTGGCTTAAATTTATTTTCATGGTTTCCAATACTTAAGGCCCTGTGGTAACTAAATTATAACATCCTTTATCTTTCAGCTTTTGGTTTGAGAATTTTACAGATTATGTTGATAAGTTAAATTCATGGAGGATTTTGAAACACTATTATTGATGTAGAAAGATAATGACTATCTGAGACACCAAATGCAGCTTCTCAACTCAACGGATGGAGAATCTCACTATACAGTCTAGCTTTTATTTACAATTTTTGGGATACTGAGGATGACCAAGGAATTTCATTAGATAAGGGAAATTTTTGTTAGTCTGCATCTTGTTCGTTTTAATGCACAGATCTGACGTTTATTTCTTTGTTGCATGTGGCTATCTCACTCACTTGCTCATGCTTTTAGGTAAGAATGATAATTGACAAATTTGGCATAGCTGTTTTTCGAAATTCGTGGTATGATTCAAATCAAGTTACTGATTATGTCCTACAAGGTTACACAAAGGTGATTCTTAAAAAGCTTTCTTTTCCAGTTTCCCCTAATTCTGGATGCGTTATACTAAGTTGCTTTCCACTCAGAGAAAAAACTCAGACCATACAGAATTTCTCTATTTATGTATATTTTTGTAACTCCCCACTTTACTATTGCAGCCACTGAGGGTGAGAGGTTGGGACAAGGCCCTTGCGGAATATACGGTAGCAATGCTTTCAGATTCTTCTTCTCAATCAAAGCCACAGCTTTCCAAAAGATTGGGCGAAATCTCATGTCCAGGTTACAAAATTTACCTAAATCTTGTGACCAATCAAAATAATCCTATGAAAGATAAGATCCTTTCCTACCATTGATCAATTTAGAAGACTTGATAGAAAATATAATCAAGAAAATGTTTGGTGGGTCCTAAATTTTGGATTAATGTCAATTGATTGACTAAATGATCTGATTATCTAGTTTTTGTGCTTACGGTACTGTCTTAATAATCATCTTTGGCACAGGTCACTGGTTCAAAAGTTCTTGCCTTTGATAGACCGGCCTTTGGGTTGACATCACGGGTCGACCCAACCAATCGTTCACCTACTGGCAGCCGAGATGCCAGACCTCTAAATCCATACTCGATTATGTTCTCTGTACTGGCAACCCGGTACTTTATTGATGTCTTAGCAGCTGAAAAAGTAATTCTGGTGGGGTAAAGTGATATATATTCAACCTTCTGTTCTTTTGATTGTTTCTCATATTGTGCCCATTTTCTGGTTTCTGAATATTTCATCATTAAGTTTTTACTGGTAAGGGTTTCTATACTGTTTCCGCTGTCGCACATTCTATGGAGTAAACCTCTGGAAATTAGCACAAACTCCTCAAATGTTGACCCGAATCGTAACAAGGAGAAAAATAGTCAAATGTCAATGCTCTAAACTAGCACACGACACACGAGATCCTCAGTGTCACTTTTCCGGTGGCAATTCAGTGCCACTTTCATATTTATGTCAAGTATCCTATTTATTATTTAATTTGTCATATGCTATTTATTCAAATTTCTTCTACGATCACGTGATAAGTAGAATTGACACTGGATTTGACACCGAGTAGATGGATAGAGGATTCCAACTGCCTTCAGAAGGCACACTGTCAATTGAGAGTTAAATTTAATTTTTTTGAAAGAATAATATATTTTCACACCTATGATCAATATTTTGGTACTTTCCCCTCTCATTCTGTCAATCGCCCCTTTTCTGATGGCGAAAGTCTCTGTTTATGCTTACTAAGAGCTAACCGATGCCAGGCACTCAGCTGGTTCCCTTGTAGCGGTTGATACATATTTTGAGGCACCTGATCGAGTTGCTGCAATGGTTCTTGTTTCTCCAGCAATTTTAGCACCTCTTTTGAAACAGGATTTTTCCAAAGATAATCAGAGAGGTGAAAACAACAAGAAACAAGAGGAGCACTCAAATTCAGAAAGTCACCGGAGTCCAATTCTCAGGAGTTTCAGCATGTTGTCAATGTTAGCTGAACATATTGCTCAGGCCACTATGAATATGTTGAAAGGGATGGGTCATATGATAAATTATCCGTACAAGAAGGCTTTATTGGCACTCCTCTCCTCTGCCATTGGTGTAATGCTGGTATTAAATTTCTCTTCAGGATAAATTTTCATTATTCTCTTGGCTTAAATTTATTTTCGTGGTTTCCAATACTTAAGGCCCTTTGGTAACTAAATTATAACATCCTTTATCTTTCAGCTTATGGTTTGAGAATTTTACAGATTATGTTGATAAGTTTATTTCATAGTGGATTTTGAAACACTCACTATTTATTGATGGAGAAAGATAACGACCATCTGAGACACCAAATGCAGCTTCTCAACTCAACGGATGGACTATTTTAGTATACAGTCTAGCCTTTATTTACAAGTTTTGGGATACCGAGGAATTTCATTAGATAAAGGAAATTTTTGTTAGTCTGCGTCTTGTTTCTTTTAAGGGATAATATCGGAAACCTCCTCCCTTCAGATTTCTCCTAATATCACTTGGCATTTTTGAGATTTTTAAAATATTACTTACCTTTTCTAGTAAATGTAAAATGACTATATTAACTCTAACTTGCTACAAAATTCACATATCAAATAAATAGATGCCAAACTTTTTTTTAAAAAAAAAAAAAAGAAAAGAAACGAAAGTCACTTTCTTCTCTTTTCCTTTTCTCCATCATTCTCTCTTCCTCATTTTTTGGATGACTATGCAATATTTTATTTATAAATTATAATAAATTGAATTTTATTTATCTTTTATTTTTTGTGATTATGATAAAGTGGGTATGATTTATTTGTTTATTTTGAGTTGATTTTTATAAGTACAATTTAATGATTTGGGCAATGAGAAGATATTGAAAAAAAAAATATTTCATAAGAAATTGTTTTTGAGTATATAGAGTTAAATTAGTGCAAATGTATTTCTTGTCAAATGTCTTTTTTATTTTTAAATTTATATTTTTATATAAGATACTGTCTTTTAAGTGATCTTTTTTTGAAATGAACAAAGTGGTTTAGGAATATTTTTGTTTAACAATTGAAGGTGTAGTTTAGGGTTTTTAAAAATTTTGTTATACAAAAAACAAAAGTAACGGAGGTAAGTGATATTTTTAAAATTTTGAGGGTGCCATGTGATATTAAGAGAAGAGAAACCTCAGGGGAGGTTGAGGTTTGATATTATCCCTTGTTTTAATGCACGGATCTGACGTTTATTTCTTTGTTGCATGCGGCTTGGTTTTTAGGTAAGAATGATGGTTGCCAGAATTGGCAATCCTCTTTTTCGATACGCGTGGTATGATTCAAATCAACTTACTGATCACGTCTTGCAAGGTTATGCAAAGGTGATTCTTGAAAAGCTTTCTTTTCCAGATTCCCCTAATTTTGGATGCATTATACTAAGTTGCTCTCCAATCAGAAAAAAACTCAGATCATACAGAGAATTTCTCCATTTATGTATATTTTTGTAACTACCCACTTTACCATTGCAGTCACAGAAGGTGAAAGGTTGGGACAAGGCTCTTGCGGAATTTGCAGCAGCAATGCTTGCAGATTCTTCTTCTCAATCAAAGCCACAGCTTTCCAAAAGATTGAGCGAAATCTCATGTCCAGGTTACAAAATTTACCTAATTATTGTGGCCAATCAAAATAATCCCATGAAAGATAAAATCCTTTCCTACCATTGATCAACATAGAAGACTTAACAGAAAATATAATCAAGAAAATGTTTGGTGGATCCTAAATGTTGGATTTAATGCCAATGGATTGACTAAATACTTAAATCTGATTATCCATTTTTTGTGCTTATGTTAGTTAGAGTCTTAATCATCATTAGCCCTCCGAATGCTCATACATTTTCATCTTGAGCCTATATATATTTTGTCCTAAAGGTTTATTGCCTCCATGTTTTGGGTCCTGTTGGTGTACCATTCATCTCTTATATTTGATGACTATATCTTTTTCACAATTTCTTGAACTGGACATTAAATGTCTGCAAAAAAAAAAAAAAAAAAAGGTGCAGTCAATTTTATCATCCAGTAGAACCAAAAACCGTATATGCTGACATTGCCAATGTAAATTGCAGTCCTAATTGTCACTGGTGATAGCGATCGACTTGTTCCCCCTTGGAACTCTAAAAGGCTTTCACAAGTCATTCCAGGATCTCGTCTTGAGGTGATCAAGAATTGCGGCCACTTGCCTGCTGAAGAAACGGCTGAAGAGTTTGTATCGGTTGTTGAGAAATTTCTACAGAGAACTTTTGGTGCTTCGCAGGAGCAGCGTTTGCAAGTAGTGACTTAACCCTGGATCTTCTTAAACCAATTGACAATTGTGCCGAGGATTGAACCCTCAAAATAAATGTGGAGACATAATTAAACTCCAGAAAGAATTTCTCCCCAATGATTGTCAAAGTAAAAAGATGGATAAACATCATTTAATATTTCTTCTTGTCCGTTTTGTATTTCTTCATAGTATCCCCCGATGAGTCGCATTTTTTTTTTATGAAGCAGCATATGTTGATTGCGACGCACTGGTGTTAGAAGCTTGAACATGCATAGCCAATATCCAAACTTCCTTCTGGATTTAGAGGGCTAGCAGCGATCACAAATATCCATGTTTGTTACGGGGTGCAGGTGCAGTAATTGTTGAACGCTGAAATGATTTAAAACAACAATAATGTCCCTCGCCATACAACAGCAGATTATGTTCTACGCATATTCAGAAAGGAGGATCAGTTGATATTGTCAGGCTAGCATCTTGTAAATTGCGTGGAAAATCAAAACCTGACATAAAATCATCCCCAAAGATCACGGCTCCAGCAGCTAATGCTCCAGCACCTAGTCCCACCCCAACACCAGGTCCCCTGCTGCGTCCAGGTGCTGGTCCAGATGATGGCATGTTCATGTAACTAGGCCGCAAATCATCTGTCCTCGGTAGAGAGGTATGTATATAGCTAACATTTGAGGGTGGTGGGAGTGGGGGTGGAGCTCTTGGTGGTTGATAGCTTGTTCCCCCGGCTGGTGCATAGCTTGGACCCGTTGGTATATTGGGATAATTCCGAGGAAATGGAAGTGGATGGGCATACTGGCTGCTTGTCTGCGGCTGACTTCCTGGCTGCAGCGGTGAGGGTGCAGGAAATTGTGAATGCAGGGGTCCGTGCCCAATATCCAAGTTAATTCCCATGCTGTTATCCATGAGCTTAAATCCTTCCTCATCACCTGAGAAACCAAAATTTCACAAATTTCACGAGGACAAACATCGAAACTCGTTGATTCTAAGAATCCTACAGTCCAAACCCTTAAATTGTGTGGAAAGCATTATTGCTGTTCAATAATAGACATAGCCCATGCGCCAGAAGGAAAATTGCAGTATGCAGGAATCCGAACAAAGAGACTGATGAGGTTTTCTCATGAGAAAAAGAAAGTCATGATGATGAGGGAGTCCGTAATTGTACCTTGGTATGAGCTAGACTCTTCCCTTTCTTCTGATATTCGGATTGAGATATCGACAAATCCTCGAGGTTTGTTTGTATTCTTCTTTCTCAGCTGAAAACTTCCTACTTCTTCCACCGGTTTTGGAACCTCAGAATTCTTCAAGTACTTCTCCAGAAATTCCTTAAGAATCACCGTTGTCGTTCCCAAGAGCCTTTCTCTAAGAAAGACGGGTTCTCTACTATAGACCTCGACGTGGAGGGCCATATCTTGGAAGTTAGGTTCAGAAGGATCAACCACTGTCCAGAATTTGGTTTTCCAAACTGGATTAGCATTTCCCGAAGCATCTATCCTGGTGCAGTATTTGTTGTTAGTATCAATCCACCCAACGGCAAACCACTGGCGCTTCCACAGTGAAGATGTTCGCCGGAGTCCCCTAGCAGAAATCAGGCAGACCTCAACCCATAGTTTTCCCATCACAGCTAAGATTCAATCGTGAAACGAAGACAGAACGGCAAGAGAGGTTGCTTTCTGAAAAGTTCTTCCAACTCTGTAAAGAAGAGTTGATAAGGAAAAGAGAAAGTTAACAACTTTGTACCATTCCAGACTAATGTTACCCACAGGCCAAGAGAATTCCTTATCCATCACGACTTTCTAAATCTCCGTCACCTTTTTGTCGAGCAAATGACCCGTAAATCCATACCAAGAGGAGAGGAATCAGAACAAAAGTCAAAAGTTTGTCCAGCATAAAGTGGAAGAAAATTAGATGGATGGCCCACTCATGCGGCAATTTATCAAAAAAAAAAAAAAAAAAGCTTGTTAACTGAACAACTTAAAAGCCTGTTAGAATGGTATATGAAATTGTTTGGCTATGCAACACATCCCTTTCAGCTGGTCTAAAGTAGGGAAACACTTTAACCCAGTGCTCACAAGGAGCACAAAGTCCTACTCCATTAACTTACTGCCTGAAGAGTGCTGTGCGGTAAATCAGTAAATGGAATAGAGTGCCTATGGAACCCTTCAACTTTGAGGCTAGTCAATAGAAGTTCTACGTAGATTGCAATCCAATTATCTGAAGAACAGAGCATTCTGCATCTGCACGGTCATGGAAAGAGAGATTACGAACTCTACTATTGTCTTGATGGGGGACTTAAAAGTAGCTTTCTGCCAGCATATATAGCAGTCTGATGTGCATCAGGACAGCTAGATGTCCCAGTATACATCATTGTAGTGGAACCAAGAATATCTTCTCCAAATCCACATGCTTTAAAGAATAGCCTGAGGATGAATACAAGGGCCATGTTAGCTTCAAAAGATACCCTTTTCCGAAAAATTGCAGGAAATAAGATCATTACCTACATTGATAAAAAAAAGTGTTGATGATACAAGTAAATTATTTGAGATAATTTTGTAAAAAAATACTGTAATACTTTTTTGATGTGATGTATGTGAGATAAAAAGATGATTAAAAATGTGTTGATGATGAAAGCAAATCAGTGTGTGTAAATAAGGTGGAAATAATGTGTAATCCAAACACACTAATTACTGAAACTTAAAACTTTACCCCTCTTTCTCAGAGCAAAGGGCGGATATATCGTACACCCCTTTGCCAGTAAGCATTCTGCAAGAAATATTGGAGTGCTTAGACATCTTTCAGAGCTTGACTACCAAAAATTTTCAACAACTAGCACATTATGTAGCAAATGTATTTCCCATTATGCTTAGCTCTGCAGTCAGCAACCCCAAACAATCCTTCCCACAAAATGGTAAATGAATAGAGAAAAACCTGCAGGTAATACTAGGTAGAATGTTTCCTCGATGCTACACCACAATTACAACATGCCAAAAATGAATAACGGTAGAAAATTAAACTACACTTGGCTGATCAACTCAATATTACCAATCAGTAAAAGCTGAACAGTTCCTCGCATATACTTGTTAATTGAACTTTCGCCTCCTTCAAAACAATATAAGCAAATGATTTTCCTTAATGATTCCCAAATTCCAAGCAATGCCTAGAACCCTAGAATCTTAAAAATATCTAGTCCCATTACAACCTTATAATTCTTTGTACAATCCTCCGCCCAATTCCTCTACCCTGGAGAGAAGGGATCACCTGAAATGCACTGAAAAACAACTACATTAGAAGGAAAATAAAATAAAAATTACTTTTTCAGAAGGAAAAGTGTTCCGACCATGACATCATAGATGGAAGCAGTTAGCCCTAAATCAGAAACAGCGCGTCCAAACCCCACAAGCTTCCCGTTATCTGGAGTCACCGGCATCACTCGCTGAATCCAATTCCCACCAATGCCCATCGATCTTGTCCCGACTTCAGCAGTGGACGATAAATCATTAGCTAATTCGGGTTTCGTGAAGACCGATACGACAACGGAGCTATTGGACAGAGCAGTTCGGAGTTTGCTGACGTCTATAAGCTCTACGCGGCCGTCGGAGTCGAGCTTAGGGAAGCGGTGGCAGGAGTGGTTGCAGAGAGCGTAGAGGTGCTGGAGATGGCTTGGGTTTACGTGGGATGGGTTTGTGGAGATGTACAATGGCGGCGGGGATGAAATCTGGTTGGTTATTTTTAGCGGGGAATGGAGGAAATTGGCGGGAATACAGCTGCTGTAAGCGGAGGTTGCAACGGCGGCCATCTCCGTTTAATCACGTTATTCTCTAATTTCTCCACCGCAGAGTTGCATACATAATCTTTTTGGGGCAACGCCACAGGTTAAGGATGGGAAAAACAAACGAGGCACTTTCAAGAGATGGGTTTCCCTCAAAAAAAAAAAAAAATTCGACTTTCAAGAGATGGTTAATATTTCTATTTTAAATTTTAAGAAATCATTCCGGATTGTCTCCTAATGCATAAGAGGCATTGGTATGTTGATGATTGGGCGGCACGGATTTTTCATAAACATGAGATGCGATTTATCTAATACCCAAAATTAGAGTATTAACCCATATGTGAGTGGATGTCCTGTAATATTAAGTTATTAAATTATGAATTTCTTATTAAGAATTATATATATCAATCATTAAGGATGCTAATCAAAGTTAAGGGATGTCAAATTCGGTCTGGAGTGAAGGGCTTTGCTTGCCCCCCAGGCAGCTCAGTCGGTCACGCTTTCCACTTTAGGGGCGTTGTCCGGTTTTGGACAACCAATGTTCGAGTCTGCCTGGAGTTACCATGTCCGGAGTGGAGTGGAGCCTCCTCTCTCGGGCCGCAGGGGATTAGTCGGGTCCCGTAAGAATTGACCCGGACACTTCTGTGTCGAAAAAAAAAAAAATGAAGGGCTTTGCTTGATTCATTATCTCTCCTATTTAATTCAAGGATCGAGCCGCCCCTATTAATCACACCGGTAATTCAAAAGCAATGTTGTGGACTCCGGTGATCAAAATCAAAATTGAGTTAACATATTATTGCTCTCTAGTTTGAGAAAATGTTTTTGAAGAGGCTATGCTAATTACTAAGACTAAGGGCGTATTTGGTAAAACTTAAGTCTGAAATCTAAAATATGAAGTCCGAATCTATTAAGTTATTAAATATTAAATCTGATACATTTGAATACGTATCACATTCAGTGATAAATAAATAATTTATCACTTAATTTTAGGAACAAGATTTGCCTAGAAAATTCAGTGCCATTTAATTAATTCAAATGTTTAATTTTTAGTTATCAAACAGTTTGAATATGTTAAGATCTGAATCCATTAAGTTTAATCGCTGAATTGGATCATCCTACAATGCCTAAATGAAATCAACAGGATGGTGGACCAGAAGAGAATTAACAGTTCAGATAAGGGAACAAGAAGAGATTAAGAAAAAAAAAGGGGGGGGGGGGGGGATGAGATGGAGGAAGAAGCACAGTACCCCAAATAAAGGAGGATAGTTTTAAGGTAACATAAACAAGCTTAGCTACTTCCAAGACTTGATCCAGCTGAAGTTACATGCTGGAGGTCCTTTCGTATCTTTGAATTAGAATTTGGACACCTTGACCGGGTTCTACGATCATGCGGTAAGCTGGAGAATGTCGGTACTTGGAGATAAAGAGAAGGTGAACTTGGAGATTATGAGGGAAATCACCACTTTCATTTGAACCAAAGCAAAATTTCGGCCAAGCACAATCTTGGGCCTACGCCAAAGGGGACATAAACTTGAGGCAATTTGCAGGCACCAGAAATTCCATTTGCAAATCGCTCAGGCTTGAACTCATTTGCATCTGATCCCCAAATTTCAGGGTCACGATGCAAGGTTGGTATCAATGTCCATATGCAGACGCCTTTAGGCACCAGTAGGTGCCCAATTTGAGCGTCTTCAAGTGCCTCCCGCGACACAAATGCTGCTGGTGGATATAACCGCATCACTTCATGAATCACCATTTTCACCTGCAATAGCAAAGCCAGGATATGCATGCAGCCAAATATGAGGTTATTCCTTGTTAATCATGAATCTCGTAATGATTTCAAATTAAGATTCATGTCCCGTGCTTTAACGTCTTGAAAACGCTAGACAAAAGTGACGTGAATGAAGTTCTACGATAACATAAAATGAACTCATAATGGATACCATTTTCATCTTGGGGAGAGAATCAGCATCAATTGAGCCATCTGGACAAACTTGAGCTATTTCATCGCGGATACGATCTTGCCATTCTGGGTGCAGAGCTAGAAGCATCAAGCACCATGATATAGCAACAGCAGTGGACTCGTGCCCGGCGAAGTAAATATTTTTGCAATTGTCGACAATGAATTTCTTAGACGAATTCTTGCCCACGTCGTTGATAGCCCCTTCGAGTATCAGTTGCAATAGATCCTTTTCCGATGGAAATTCCTGTGAGCATTCTTCTCCACGTTGTGCTATGGTTTCCCATATCAGCGACTCTATCTCCTTTTCCAAACTTTGAATCTCCTTTTGCTGTTTGCTTGGAAAAAATCTGCCCATGGATAATGTTAGGTGTTACTTTCTACAGGTACCGTTTTACTTTGTTTTTGTGTCAAAATGTGATCCAAGTATAGGCCAAGAAACACCATACCCCAGTGTAGGGATACCAAAAAGTACACTTTGATTTGCAATGACTTTCTGGAGGGTTCTGAGCTTTGAGAATATCTTCTTGCCTTCGAAATAGGAGCTCCCAAAGCAGGCCCTTGATATCACATCAGCTGAGACACCCCTCAGGTCCTCCTCCACTCTGATCTCTGCAGTTGTTCCGCCTTGGGCTTCAATGCTGGCTTCCCATTTGGCCATCAATGGCTCTGCTGATTGCAACATCATACCTACCATGCCCTGAAATGAATTTTAAATCTAGCTGCCTCACTCGCACAGCAATTAACTCTCCAGTTTCAACTTTCAAGTCAATTATGTACAATTCAACTCATATACAGTTCCGTTTATTTCAACTTATTTACCTTGACCTTGTCGCTGAAGAACTCAGGGGCAACAATTTTCCTCTGCTGCGCCCATGCATGCCCATTAGACCTCAAAATTCCAGTGCCAAGCATAGGTGCAAGCCTTTTCGTAACATACGAAGGCTTCCCAAGATCCAAACTAGTACTGAGGTTCATCTCCTTGACTAGCTCCGGATGGTTTACGTACAGATGCCGTTTGTTTGTTGAGTACGTGTATATGGGGCCTGTATCCAATAACAATTCCAAGTGATGCAAGGATCCATAGGACTAAAAAAAGAAAGATCAGAAAACGATAGGAGGTAGAAACAAAAGTAACGCTAAGGATTGGCGTGAAAAATTTGTTGTCTGGCCACCGCCAATCATGCATGCAGTACATCCGCTGGTAGAAATAATTGCAGCTACGTATGATTGATTAGAAGGACACGAGGCTAATTCGAGAATCAAAGATTGTGTGTTTCACCATTGTACAAATTGCACATGATTGCCGTCAGAGTGTTCCCCGATAAAAAATTATGTGCTGAAGTAAAAGGGCGTACAACTTTGACAGCAGTGTACTAGGACTTAACACGTTTGTCAAAGCATGTCCCATAACCCGGCCAATTATTGCTTTGAACGGCAAACATCCATCGACCATCGACCAAATAAGGAAAAGTTTCCTCATCTGTTATCTCAATTCAGCAAGAGTCGCTATCTTTGTTTTCTTTGCTTTTGAAACTCTTAAAAAAGATGTGGCAGACAAGAAAATCTGTACCTTTCCTACGTATAACATGGATGAATATCTGCATGCATCCTTGGATGAGCATCTCTTCCATTTTCCAAATCAAACTCACTTGATATCAGGTTTTATGATGCAAATCTAGTCCATTTCTAAAGTAGAGGGAAGGTTCCCTCTCCCCTGGCCCGGACACCTCAATGTAGCAACCGGCTGTTATTACGGGTCCTTTTTCCCAGGATGTTTCAGTGCTCAATCTTGACTTAAAAGAATATCAAATGCTGGGTTGCAATTCAAAGTGCAGCTCTAAAAATATATTAGTTTGAGCTGCAAATCTGTTTTGCCCAAAATTAAATGTTGCTCTAGATTTTTTTACGTCCAGCATAACCAGTCACAATTAACCAACCACAAAAGGGTATTCTTATGTGTAGTTATGCACTGAAGTTAAAATGCGGTACTTGGTTAAGTATTGATGGATTAAACCATGGGTTACTCTTGCCATCTTCTAATGGCAGTGCCATTCGAGATTTAATAATTCAGAAACAGATGATCAGGCTCCAAAAGTCCGAGTAATTGCTAATCTTTCAAGAGAAAGGATTGGTGTTATATATGCCTTGTTCTTTAGTGAAACAGCATTTTAGTTAGTACAAGAGATCGAGAAAGTAGACACAGGTCCTGACCCCCAAAAATTAAAGGACACAAGTATGGGAAAAAAAAAAGACAACAAAAATGCTATAGAAACAGACTCATCAGTCCTTCAACCAAATTACCATATGTACTCCTTTTTAAAAAAAAAAAAAAATTTTGCTCAGTACTCATGTACCCCCTCTTTTCTTGGAAGTGATGTGTCCAAATTATTGATCGAATCTAATCACTTTCAGTCTATTACCGATCACGGGTGGACTTTTTGCTGATCTATTCCAGGATATCAAGGACGTCTCTTTCTTCTTTTCTAATTTTTTTAGGCCTAGCTCTGCATTCGTTGCTTTTATTTGTCTTAGATATATAGAAGTAGTTGTCAAAAGGACAAATATCCAGACAATCCAGAGCTTATCTTGGCTAAGACTTAAAAATGCTTTTGGAGTAATAAGGTTAATGACTCCATAATAACAAAGCATGACAAAATTATTACTTTATGTTTCAAGAGCCCTCATCAACTTTTGATGATCAGATAAAGAATTCAAAGCAGACTTAAGTATGTTTTTAATAAACACAAGTAGTTCTCCAACCGACGAAGCCGGATTCTTTAGCTCATCGCTAAAGATAACTTTGCTGACAACGTGTACGTAAACACTGAACTCGATAGCACCTTATCGCATTTTTCAAAGATAAAAGTGTCTCTGTCCCTCTAATTATGAACCCAACTGTAAAATGAAAGATAACTACTACGAATGAATATCTGTAATGTGTTTATATCTTATTTATGTCAAAGGTGATGCAACCTTGAATGGCATCTGGAATTTTTACTAGTAAAATAATCAAAGAAGAAGGATAAGAAGTTACCGTATTCTTTTCTCCATTGTTCAAAGTATGGGAAGAGAGTGGAGGTGTAGTCATGGGCCACAAATTCGCCAAAATTTGCTGCTTTCATGGCTTTAGCCTGAATCTTCTGCATCTCCTGAACGTTTCCATATAGGAAGAAGGAGAAGGCCCTCTAATTCCTTGCCTCTGAAGTT